GCCCGTCTTTGACTTTAGAATAATTATCAGTACAGCCGCCGCCTGCTAAGCCTTCACCAGAGGGTGTTATGCCTTCCTTCCTTAGCTCCACTAACCTGGATCACTGGCTCGCTTGTGTCATTGACTCGTCTGAAGCCCTGTATGAAATCCGTACTGTTCTCATCCTTTTACCTGCCCTTTACAGATGGGGAAACTGAGGCACAGACAAAGCCAGTGACCTGCTCACGACCACGCTGGGTAAGGAGGTGAGCCAGTGTGTGGCCCCAGCTCTGCCTCTGTTGGGGGGAAAGGATGTCCTCACTAACCTCCACAAACAGGTTTTATGGACTCCACCTTCACCCCAGACCAGAGATCCAACACACCAAAAACTAAAATCCCATAGGGTCATCACCACCGTAGGGAGGATGCTGGGAACTGAGGGTGGAATTAAGAAGCCAGGCTTGGGCTGTAACCAGATATGTGGACCTGGAGCAGGGGGTGCTTTGGTTTCGCACAGGCTTTCAGCACGCTATTGTGGTCCCAGCCCAGCAGAACAAGTAACTTATCTTTCTCATTCTCATTTTCTTTGTTGTAAATAAATTCTTTTCTTTAATTTTTTTTTTAAAGATTTATTTATTCATACAGAACTGGGGTACAGGCCAGAGGCTCAGGGGCGGTGAGAGGCTTCACCAGAGACAGAGTGGGGAGCAGAACAGGCAGATCGACGAAGTACACTGCTGAGGGGAGCAGCGGGCGGGTCAGGAGAGGTCTGGCTCGCCATGTGGTCTCCTCCGGGGCAGGCGGCAGGCGGGAATCGAACTCATACGGAAGTGGCTTCAAATTCTCAGTGCTGTGCTTTAACCCGCTGCGCCACCAGGGAGGGCCCTTTTCTTTAAATTTTAAAGACTTATTTATTCATACAGAACTAGGGTACAGGCCAGAGGTGCAGGGGGGTGAGAGGGTTCACTAGAGACAGAGCGGGGACCAGAACAGGCAGATTGAGGAAGTACACTGCTGAGGGGAGCAGTGGACATGTCAGGAGAGGTCTGCCGCGCCATATGGGTCACATCGGGGCCGGGGATCGAACTTGCACGCAAGTGGCTACAGCCAGCTTGCAGTGCTGTGCTTTAACCTGATGTGCCCCCAGGGAGTGCCAATAAACCCTTTTTTCACCTTTTTTGGGTGTGCCTGAGTTGAGTCTCATAATAAGTCCCTTTCAAGCATGTGGGTGAGGACCCACCGTCAAGCCACCACTTCGCATTGGGGTTGCCCTGTAACCGCTGGGCACCAGGCCTAGCTGACCCCTCGGCAGCCAGCCACACCTAGTAACGCACCACTGCAGGGGATCAGTTTCTCTATAGGGCCCACTGAGAGCCGGAAGAGTCACGGCACATGGCCCAGCTGGGCAGGGACAAGCCAGGGCACATGTAGTGGGCAACTCTGCTCCCAGGCGCCGCTAGAAAAGCTGTGTCACAGGGAGTTCACCTCGCTGCCCAAACTGGTACATGGCTGGCATCGATTTAAGTAGTTATATACACCTTTCGCCCCACTTCTGTCAGGGCAGAAAGCTTTTAGGCAAGCCACACGACAGCCCGTGGGTGCTGCTGCTACTGCAGCAACCCGGGGAGAGCCCAGGGACCAAGGGAAGCGGACTCTCACAGACTTGGTCCGCCCTGGGACACAGGCAGCTCTTTGAAGAGACAGTCTTAGAGCTGTACGTTCCCACGGCAAAACCCCTCAGCACAACTTGCTAAAATAGATTTTAGAAGGACACGTGCAGGGTGATCATTTCAATGCATCGTTAGGTTTATATTTACACCTAACTCTTTTTGTGCATGCAAATGTATGGGAAAGGTCTTGAAGAATATGCTCCATGTACATGGCAGCAGTACCTGCAGGAGAAAGGCAGGTGTTGGGAGGAAATGCAACAGAAAAAGCTGGACACCAGGGGCTGGTGTGTTCTGGCCTTTTGTATTCTGACTGCAGAGACTTTGGATTGGTCTTTTAAAACGCAGCCGTGTGCTATTCTGAGTCCACTTTTTTCCCCAGCTCTAAGCTGGGACAATGACACTGGAGTAAATTATGAGGGGTAAGACCCAACCCCAGTGGGGGCTCAGGCCAGAGTATAATCTGTTCCATGACTAGAGTGTTCATGAATGGGCTTCCTGTAAGAGGTGTGAACGCCTGGAACCAAACAGATCTTTCGGGGGAGGAGATCCATATCTACCCATAGGTCTCGAGGAATGGAACCACACTTGGTACAGTAAACAAGGATATATGATGGGTGAGTGAACAGCCAGGGTCAAGAACCCTCCAAAGTCGACTGTCCCATGGCAGTCTCAGGACAAGGGGCCAAGAGCTGCCGCTCGCTGGGGGCCCCGCACACGCCAGTTGCCACTGCTCACATGGGCTGCACCAGCCCTCCCAGGAACTCCAGAAGCTTTAGCATCCATTTTATGGATAAACAAGTGAGAGCTCCAGATACACATAGCTGCTGTCAGCCTGACTCCAAAAACCCACACCCAAAATCAATGAGTCTCTGCCTTCCTGTGGGGTCCCAGGAGCAGGCTACTGGCTGGCCACCTAAGGGCAACTGTGACCTATTTGCTCTCTGCAAATCCCAGCAGAACATTCCATGACTACCTATGGGGTATTGCTCGTATCATGAGGCAGCCTGGGGATGCCTAGGCCACTGTTGACCTACTATCTCCATGGGGATCCAGGGGTAACATCAAATACCTTGTTGATGCAAATGTCTCTTGAGGTATGGTCACAATGTCCCCTTCTCTGCTCATCATAAACGTTTGGCCTCCATTCCAATCCCGACTTCTGGACCTTATTCCTCATACCATTGTCACATAATCAGCTTTTACCAGACTGGATGCTTTCAGAATGGCACAAGAACTTTGCAGAGCCTTGCCATGCAAATCTGCTCCACAACTGTTGTGTCCCTCATCAAGTTCCTGATGCAAAATGGCAACAGCTTCTGGCTGCCACACCTTCCCAGAGCCTCACCATTATGGGATATAAGGCAAAGGGCGTGGGCAAAACTTTAATCCCTCAGCATCTGGGGATTTAGTAATTTAGCAGGCCTGCACAGGGCCCAGAAGTCCCAGATTCAAGGTAAATGATACTTGGATGCAATATTTATAAAAATCAAAATAAATGCACGCACAAGGAACCCATGGCTTGGGAGGCTGGGCATAGCCCTAGGAAGGGCAAGAATGTAGGTTCAGGCTAAAAGTCCTGGGTTAGGGTGAGGAGTAAGTAGGCTAAGGAATAGGGAGAGCTTCCCTGAAAGGGCAGCGAGTTTGAGAATGCCAGCAAAAATTTAATGCCAAAAAATTCATCACGAACCAAATATCAACATTTTACAAAGACAGGATACATAGACAGTGTGTCAAGTCACATTTGAGCTGGTGGCAAAGGAGAATTCGGCAATAAAATGATCCTTTGTTTATAGTTTTAATATGTTGTTTCTCATGAATTTTTAAGAAGATTTATTTATGCATACAAGAAGTGGGGTATGGTGGGGGGCGGGGAAAAGATTCACCAGAGACAGAGTGGGGAGCAAAATAGACAGAGTGACTGAAATACATTGCTGATGGGGGCAGTGGGCAAGACAGGAGAGGTCTGCTGCACCATGTGGGTCACCTCCCTGGCCAGGGATCAAACTCATGCTATAGTGGCTGCAGATAACTTCATAGTGTTGTGCTTTAAGCTGCTGCACCACCAGGAAGGGCCTTCATGAATTTTTTGTAACCAGTTTCATTTCTTAAAATGTGGAGTCAAATATTACTTCTCTGAAGGGCAGTGGTGGAGACCAGAAATGGTGGAGACCAGACAGACACACACATTACCCTCATGGAGCGCTTGGTTTAGCAAATGAGGCAGACAGAAGCAGGTAAAGCAATAATAGAGTGATTATCAATTACCGTCAGTCTAATGGCAGGAACAGAGTGCTGTGGGCAGTGACCTACTTAGATGATAGTCACTGACACCATCTCCAAGTTTGAAAGCCCTTGTTCTTCCCACCCATGAAATCCTGTTGTGCATGAAGGGTGAACTCAGCAGATTTAGGATGTTTGACCCTGATCATTCCAAAGGAAGTTCTAGACCAGCTCCTGGGAGATGACCTCTAAGGCCCTGGGAGCTGGGAGCGCCTCATAAAATCAACCCAAATACCCAAAAGTAGATGACTGGATTAAAAATATGTGGTTTATATACACAATAGAATATTATTTAGCGATCAAAAAAGATAAACTCATGCCTTTTGCAGCAACATGGATTAGAGGGATCTCTAATGTAAATATATATATATATATATATATTTAAAAGGATCATAAGCACCTAAAAACAATTTTTAAATTTATTTTTACATCATTCTTCATTTTGTGCCTTTTTCCATCTCAGTTGAAATCCTCCGGACGTCCCACCACCAATTCACCTATGTGTCATCACTATAGTCCAGTGCAACAGGAGTGTCTTCGTGTTCCTGGGACCCTGGGCCACCCCAGGCCAGATGCCTTAGCTCACCATGTAACTTGTGCGATGGGGGGTGTCTCGGATCACACTGTCCAATTTGACCGCTGACAGAGCTGGAGACTGAGCATTGAATTCGGCAATGGGCATGCCCCAAGCAGTAGGTGACTGATGGCCACAGCTTCTGCTAGACCCAATGGCTCAGGTGAGCTTCCCTGGCTGGGATATCCCGTACCTGTTGCTGTGCCTGATTGTTTGGGCGTGTGTCAGACTCCACTGGGGGCGATGACTGCGAGCTCGCTCCTGGACTCTGTCTCTGACACCCTTTCTCTGTACTGGTTTGAATCCAGACATATCATCTGTCAAGCCCTGACCTGAGTCCAATGGGCTCTGAGTTTTGTGAGGCCCTCTAGCAAATGGCAGAGGGCAGCCGTAGGGACCCTGACACCGAGTCCAGCTGGGCCTGGCATGGACCTGTTCTCTAGTCTTGGTGTCCTCAGTCCACCTGACTAAATGTAGAAAAAACAATCTATCACTCTGTAAAGTAAGGCACAGACAAATGAGCCCCTTTTTACTTTATTCAAATTTTTTTTTCCTGTGAAACGGAGTAGAACTGAGGAAGAATCAAAGAAAGCCTCATATATTAAATTCTTAAATAGATTTCTTTGAATTCAAAAGTAAGGGTCAACAGGAGAGGCACAGGTATGGGCCTTGTCCCAGCAGCAAAGCCACCAGACAGTCCTGCAAATGAAGGAGAATGGCAAAGCCATTTCTTAAAAAAAAGTTCTCCAGGGGAAAAATACAAAATGCCTAAGTTTCAAAAGCCAGACTGCTTCCACACTCTCCCTTCTGTACCCCAGAGTGTCCAAGGACAGAGTGTTCAAGGTCAGTTTTTGATGATTCAGCTTTTGCAAACATATGCAAATACATCCCTCATTAGCAGTCCTGTTTGGGCGATTAATAGCAAGCAATATGCTTGGATTAGAGGTCCGATTTCCACTCGAATGCAGTCTCTTCTCTTCTTGGCAACAAAGCCACTTGCAGAGATCTGAAAGGAGAGAAAACAGTGTGAGGCCCAGAGGAACCATTCTGAAATAGAGGCCGGCTATTTGCAAGTGTGACTGCTGAACGGATGGTCTGTGCATTCGCGTAAGCCAGGAAAGTTGGCGATACATGGCCCAGATGGTCAGAGGGAATCTAAATTTAAAACCATCTCTTGGCTTCTCCTCCACATCTCAACCTGAATCCCCCTGACCTCAACTTTTCGTATTTATGAAGAGCAAATGGCAGTGATGATGTGATAAATGCCGGTGAACTTGTGGAGGTGAGGGAAGGGCTGGCATTGATTCAAGACCAGCTCTTCGACCAGGGACTAGCTAAAGCGCATCCCCACTTCCACAGTAAAGAGATGACTATATCTGGCTTTTGTCAACAAGAAGGTTCAGAAGAGCCAGGGGAAGAGAGTTAGAAAATGACGGGCAGAAAGACTGTTTTTGAGACAAGGTCTGTTTTCTTTGGAAATCAGCAGCGCTCCGGGATTTTAGCACCGCTCGAGGTAGGAGCTCTGATGATAACAGATGCTGAGCAGTTTTAGCCTTGCAGGTTGGTGCAAAGTGGATTTAAAGACAAAACTATGAAACATGCAGATTATTTAAAAATATGATAAGGAGACTAAAAATAGACGCTAGGCTAGGCGCTCTTTTACAATCTATGAAGTAGACACTTCTGACCTGAAGTGGCAAAAGGAAGTGAGCTCTCTCGCTGGAGCCTGAACTCCAGTGCCACACGCATAGTGGGGGCCCAGCACTGCCCCGGACCCCGACTCCCACGGCCACCCCTGAGCGGACATGATGCACTGCCATTTTACAGATGTGGAAAACAGAGGCTGAGACCCGTTCAACCCTCAGTACATTCCCAGCCTTTGACTTCCCAGCTCAGACCCTGACTCCCAAACTTTCAGCAAAATGAAGACATATAAACAGGCATTTAATAGCATTTATGAAAAACTAACTCCCGAGGAGATGACTTTGGGGAGAATTCTCCCATTTGATGGCTGTGTGGCCTGGGGCTGTCTCGTCCCTTTGTGGGCTGTGATTTACTCATCCATAAAATGGGCCAATTGTGTCACCTGCCTCTGGGGGCTGTGGAGGTTTAATGGGCATCACATGAGAAGCACTTGGCCCAGAGCTGAGAGGGTTATTCTTAGACCAGAGCTGCTGTGGTTATTGTTAGAACATTAATTGCTTTGGACCAAACCTAATGCTGTTTATAGAAGCTGGATTGGCAGGCAGCATTCTGTGCAAAAATGGCTCTAGAATTCCCTCATCACACTGGTCTTCCCTGCCCCCTCCCCAATATCACACAAATCTTTTTCTGGTTCACTCAGCGTTGATCCCTGCTGCAACCCCTGATCCAGAGCTGGGGAGACTAAGCCTTGATTTTATAAATAGCTCTAAGCCGGTTGCCATGGAAACTTGGGATTGGACTGGGTCAGCCCACCTTGGTGGACACTCCTCCCCAAAGGCTCTGGACGGACAGCTTTTGGAACAGTGGCTGTGGGTCCCAAAGTGGCCAGAGCCCCCGGGGCAGTCTGTATGCCTACCTGGAAATCATGAGCTTCCTAGGTGGGAGGAGGTGCTGTTCTGGTTCACCTGGAGGAAAAGAACACAGAGGAGGTGTTCAGAGCCTGCGAGGGAGAGGGAGCCAGCATCTGGCTGCCCAGACTATCACCAAGTCAGGCCTGCACTCACTCATCGAATACTCACTGTGCACCTACCACGTGCCCGGTGTTGGGGACGCTGCATGTGACCTTGGCTCAGGTAGCCGGGACAGAGCCTGTTCAACTAACACACACACAAGGAAGGCCTGGTCCCGGCAACACAGCAGCCTGACAAACGAGGACAGGGTCACACAGGGTGGTCGGAAAAGGTCACTACAAGGGCATGACATAGAAGCTGTCAGGGAGGGTCCTCCCCGGTGGTGCAGGGGTTAAAGCGCAGCACTGTGAAGCTGTCCGCAGCCAATGCAGCACCAGTTCCATCCCCAGCCGGGGAGCTGACCCACATGGGTCAGCAGACCTCTCCTGACCCACCCGCTGCTCCCCTCAGCAGTGTGCTTTGTCAATCTGCCTGTTCTGCTCCCCACTCTGTCTCTGGTGAAGCCGCTCACCCCCCACACCTCTGGTCTGTACCCCAGTTCTTATATGCAAAAATAAATTAATCTTAAAAAAAAAAAAAGAAGCTGCAGTAGACTAAAAATAAACATTTGGCTTTTGTTCTTGGCTCCTGGCACACTGGAAAGTGTAGCAGTTCCTAAAACCCTCAGGAGCCCAGAGTGATGATAGTTCATGAGATGATGCTCACTGGGGTCCCAAAGTAACTTCAGGATGGCGGCTGGCCAGGTGCAAACGCAGGCATGATTAAGGGGTAGAACTTTCAGTCCTGCCTCCAAAGTCTGGGGGAGAGAGCAGGCCCAGAGATTGGGCCTAGCTGCCGCAGATCAGTGATTTCATCAGCCACATGCACTTCATGACACCTCTGTAAAAATGCCCACATGACAGGCCCAGAATCTTCTGGATAGTGGCCACACCAAGGTTCTGGGGAAACGGAGCCTCCGAGAGACAAGCCGACTGCACCCCTGGCCCCCACCCCTTTGCCTCCACATCCCTTCTCTTTGCCTGTTCCCAAGTTGGAGCCTTTACAACAAACCTTCAATCAGGAGGTAAAGTTCAGGATGTTTCTTTGACTCTCATGAGCTATTTTAGCAAATGATCAAATTTAAGGTGGGAGAACCTTGGGCCCTGCAGTGTGTAGTTGGTCAGGCAGAAGTTAAGGTAGTGGTGGCAGCTGCCATTACAAGAGGGGGGCAGTCTTGTGGACTGAACCCTCAGCTGGTGAGGGTCTGATGTTGACTCCACGAGCCAGTGTCAGCACTGACGTGAGCTGTTCAATACCCAGTTGGGGACCGGAGGCTCAGAATTGATTATCGGTGTTAGAAAACACCCACTGGCGAAACATAAAGCTGCAAACAAGAAAGTGCATTTCCTGCAGAGAGAATGACAAAGAACTAGTGGGGAGGGTGTCTGGAGCCTAAGGACTGAGTATCTGTTTATGTGTTGGCTGCATTTCTAGTCCGTGAGCTGCTCTGTGCGCTGCTTGCTGAATGTGTTTTCCATCTCTTGGGTTTCACAATTCCCATGTGGGTGGCTACAAGGTGGTCCAAAGACTGCACCATTTGGTTAATTGTTCCCAAATTTTGAAAGATCCTGACTGATGTCATGTTCACAGTGGACAGTGCAGGGACAGCAGAAGGTCAGATCTGCCCCAGCTCTCCCAAGGGTGAGTCCTTACAATGACAGGGCACATGCTGGGGGTTCATGCTCCTGCCCACACACACGCAGAAAGCCAGCCGCAGGCCTGCTGGCTGGTACCTGCAGACACAGCAGGGGTGGAATCTGCTCTACCTCTTCTATGAAATAATTTTAGCCTTAGTTCAAGAGTCTTAAAAATATCTGGACTAGGGCCCTACCTGGTGGTCTAACGGGTTAAAGTGCAGCACTAGAAGCTATCTGCAGCCACTGCGGCACGAGTTCAATCCCCAGTCAGGGAGCTGACCCACATGGCGCAGCCGACTCTCCTGTCCCACCCTCTGCTCCCCTCAGCAGTGGATTTCAGTAGATCTATCTGTTCTGCTCCCCACTCTTTTTCTCTGGTGAATCCTCTCACACCTCCACCTTTGGCATGCACCCCAGCTCTTGCATGCGTAAATAAACAAATCTTAAAAAAAAAAAAAATCTGTGCCCTCCCCCCGACTGATTCCATGCCTTAACAATGTATTCTCTGGGATGACTCCATAAAGCCCTCCCAACCCTGGAGAAAGCAGCCTCAGGATGAGCTCATGACATCATTTGGGATGTTGCAAAAATTGGCAGCAATCTTAGCACAGTAGTGAAGTAACTAGGGGCCATAATGCATTCCAGTGAATTCCAGACAGCCATCCAGAATGGCAGTGGTGAACCCTGAAGATGGAAGAACATCAAGAGAGCAGAGCCCAGCAGCTCATACAATCAACATACAATGACTGCAAGAATGCAGAATGCGGGCCGGGCTGAGAGACGTGCACAATATACAAAGAGCTTTGGGTGGAGGCCCGGTCCCCTCCTTTTCACTGCCATGGGTTGTACTGTTCCTGTCATCTTCTTAGCTAAAACAAATAATAAATCAGCACTCATTAATTCTGGCAATACTTGTTCATGGTGGCAGGAGATGGAGCTCTGACTCCCAAAGGAGGCGTTGACTCTTCCTCCCAGAACTGAGATATGCTCCAAAGCTATGCTCCCCTGGCATCAAATGTCATACACTTGCTAATGACTGTGGACTGGCACAGGGTGGCCCACCCTTTATTAGCCAAATCACATAAAACGCAGCCTAGACTAGGCAAAACAGACTACTAATTTTAGCATCACCCCTTCACTTAAAAGAGAGCACTTAACCAAAGGAAGGATGGCTTTGAGGTCAGTCAAGGGATGGTTCTTCTGGACATGACCCAGGCAACACCCCAGACACATCCAGAATGTTTGGGGTGTGCACGGGGGTACAGGATCGGACGTCATCAGCATTCACACACAAGTCTTCCCCACTTTGCACTGGGTCATGTTTGCCACTTTAACACTAAACTTGGGGGCCAGAGACAGGAAGACTGACAGGAAGCCCTCCTGACTCCCTCCGATTGCTTTCAAGCCCAGAGGCGCTCAGGCCACAATGGGATGGAGTTTGATCCCAGCTGGAGGAGACACTTCCATAGCCACTGGCCCGCTGGACCGCCACCCCTACCCACTTTCCTGATGGGGGAATGATTATCCATATTAGAGAGGTGAAGTGTTCAAGGGCATCTTGCTATATAGTGGCAGAGGCACAGACCAAACTCAGAAATGCCCCTGGGGCTACTAACCTGAAAATATCCTTTCAGATTGGCTGGTGTTTTATAGTCTCCTTTCAAGACCTAGAGAGAAAACAAATGTGTCACTCTCACAGAAGCGACTTCATCTGTCCCATCCACCTCATTTGCCCCGTTCCCTCCAGCACAGCCACCACCCACCCTCCCTCCCTTCAATCCACCCATCTCCTCCCTCCATCCACCATCCAGCCCTCCAGCATGTATTGAGTTACTTTAATTTCACACATTATTCTAAGCTCTGGGGGCACAACCTTAAACAGGCAATTGAAGCTTCTGTTCTCCTGGAGCTTCCATTCTAGAAGGGAGCAGGTGACGCACAAGCACCAATAAACACAGCTGGGAGCACACCACCCAGCACGGGAAGTGGGGTGAAGCGAGCACAACAAAGGCTGTTAGAAGGGCCCACTCTTTCTGGTGGCTGCTCAAAAGGGCCTCTTGAGGCCCTCCCTGGTGGCGCAGCGGGTTAAAGCACAGCACTAAGAAGCTAAAGCCACTTCAGCATGAGTTCGATTCCCGCCTGCCCCGGAGGTGACCACATGGCGTGGCAGACCTCTCCTGACCCGCCCGCTGCTCCCCTCAGCAATGCACTTCGTTGATCTGCCTGTTCTGCTCCCCACTCTGTCTCCGGTGAATCCTCTCACCTTCCGCATCTCTGGCTTGTACCCCAGCTCTGTATGAATGAATAAATAAATCTTAAAAAAAAAAAAAAAGGGCCTCTTGAACAGGCAGCCTCCAGGCGAGGCCTCAGTGACAAGGACAATCAGCCAGACCTAAAGGAAAAGCACTTGGCAGAGGACGCAGCTAGGGCAAAGGCCTGAGGGGAAACCCAGGAATGTCAAGACTGTGATATTCCACTGTACAGTTTGAAACGTTTAATAGCCACGTTTGAGAAAAAGGTAAAGTGAAGCGAACATTTGTAGTGTCCTTTGTTTGACCTGACAGATCTAAAATATTAGCACTTTAATATGTAATCGATATAAAAATGATCAATGGGAAATGTCACATACTTTTTGGTACTAGGACTTCAAAATCCAGTGTGTGTATCTGACACGTGGAGTTCTCAGTTCCGACTCCTCATATTCACACAGGCTAGCGGCTGTGGGGGGCAGCGGTGGGTCGCTAGCTCCACTGGCCCCTGGGTCCTGCCTAACGCTGAGCGTACCGTACAGCAGCTCAGGGCCCGCTACAGCGACACAGGTTTGCAGGACACATACACAACACACACACACATACACTGCTTTCCACAGGGAACCTCTCTCAGTAGTAATGGCATCAGTTTAGGGGTCTGGCACTTGTGCAGCAAAACTTGTACAAGGCAAGAAAGAAAGCTCTTTGGAGGAAAAGAACCACATTTTCCTTGTGTGTGTGTAGAAGAACTGGGGTGTAGGCAGAGGTGTTGGGAGTGAGAGGATTCAGCAGAGACAGAATGGGGAGCAGAACAGGCAATCTACTGAAACCCACTGCTGAGGGGAGCAGCGGGGGAGACAGGTGAGGTCTGCTGCACCACATGGGTCAGCTCCCTGGCTGGGATGAAACTCAGGCCATCGTGGTGACAGCACCAGACTTAACGCCTAGGCCGCCAGGGGCGGCCCACATCTGCCATTTCTAACACACAAATGGAAGAGCTCGAAGAGCTGATGGTAACTATCATTGTTCATCAGAATGTTTTCTAATTTACCCAGCATAAGAGAGCGGGCCTTTTTCTAGGAGTTTCTGACCCACAGATGGGTTGTCCTCCGTTAAAAGGACTCCAGAAGAGCTGCTCTGGAACCTGGCTGAGAACACAAGGGGCAGAGAACCCAGCGAGGCAGCGCTGGTTCTCGTCTCGGCCTGCTGAGCAGCTCTGGGGCTGGATTTCAAGGTCTTTACCTTGTCTTCTTTTTAATCCAGTTTTAATCCAGTTAATTAATTTTTATTATGAAATAATACATATAAAATGCAAACACTTAACTCTAACTTTTAAATATTACTAAAAATTAATAAATAAATAATAAACATTTGTGGTAATAATAAAAAGCCACATTCAGGCTGGGAATCCATATGGGATACAGTCTGGACATCTACATTGGGTCGCTGAATATTATCACAAATGTTTGTAAAATCAGGTCTCCCTAGGCCCTCCCTGTTGGTGCAGCGGGTTAAAGCCACTTCTGCATGAGTTTGATCCCAGCCCGTCCCGGAGGTGACCACATGGTGGGCAGACCTCTCCTGACCCGCCCACTGCTCCCCTCAGCAGTGTGTTTCAGTACATCTGCCTGTTCCACTCCCCACTATCTCTGGTGAATCCTCTCACTGCCCCTGCGTCTCTGGCCTGTACCCCAGGTCTGTATGCATAAATAAATAAATCTTTAAAAAAAATAACAAAACAGGGCTCCCTAGTAACACAGAAGTTAAAGAACATGCTATCAAGCTATTGCTAGCCACTGCAGCAGGAGTTCAATCCCCGACCAGGGAGCTGACCTGCAGATGCAGCAGACCTCTCCTGTCCTGCCCACTGCTGTCCTGAGCAGTATATTTCAGCAGACCTGCCTGTTCTGCTCCCACTCTGTTTTGGTGGGTCCTCTCACGCCCCCATACCTCTAGCCTGCACCCCAGCTCCTGTATGCATAAATAAATAAATAAATCTTAAAATTAAAAAAAAAAAATAGTGACTGCAAGTGCTGGAGAGGAGTTAAAGCCTTGCCAGCACCAAATGGGTGGCATCTTTCTCCTTAAGTTAACTGAGTTACAGGAGGATTGAGAGGAATGACTTCCTCGTGATTCAATACAAGAGCTGTTTACTCCCTGAAGTCAGTGTGTGTTCAGAAGTGCTGCACTTAGTTTCAATTAAGGCTCTGTGTCTTAGTGATGTCCGGTGGAAGCAGGCCCTTCTGCAGACCTGGGTCCCGTGTCCAGTATTTGGAGCCTCTCTGGAGCGCCTTTAAGTCAGAACTCAGCACCCAGAGTGAACTGGAAGCTCAGAGCATGTGTAAATAAGACAAGGAACTCATCACCAGCCCTTTTATCCACGACTGGGATTGGCCTACTTCAACGCTGCAAATACACCTTGTCAAAGTCATTTCCCTTGATCACGTTAGCTAAGGAGACCTTCAGAAAGAATTTAAACTGCTTACATTTGTCTAAATCAACATTTAAACTTATGGAGACAATAAAGGAATTGCTAGTTTATTTATTTATTATTATTTCAGTCTCAAAAAAAGACTTGAAATGCTGCTTAAACACAAATGGGTAACAGGGGAAAGGGTATGTGAGAGGCAGGTAGCCAGTTGGCTCTGAGCCTCCTTGCAGCCCAGGCAAAAAAGGGAATCCAAGCAGCCAAATATTCACCATATCCATAATACACAAACAAACCACGAGATTAGGGCTTCCTCAGGTGGCCAGAGGCTCCACCTTCAGCACACCTCCACGTGCGAGGGCACGCACTCACTCACCCGGTGTGTGTTGTTGATGACGATGGGGTCAGGGTTGCCATAGTTGGGTGGGTTTGCATAGGGGTCATAGCCGAGTCGAGCCAGCATGGGTGCGATCTGGGCCATGTCCCTTACCACGTCTCCGGGGATGTGGCCGGTCCACTTGGACAGAGCTTCCAGGTTCACAGGCTTGATGACCTGGTCTGTGGATCGCTCGATCCTGGGGAGAAAGGACAGGCTGGACGGGGCCCAGGCAACCCAGAGGCCTCTGGGCGGGCTCCCTGCTCAGTCACACTGAGGCACTGGGCAGAGCAGAGCGGCATGGGGGAGCCAGCAGGTCAGCTGCGCCCCACCAACCGCATGACTGTGGGCAACTGGCCTCATCCAGCTCCCTCCACAATGGGTAAGAGCATGCAGCTTCGGAAGAAAGTCCTGGCAGTGAACAGCACTGGTGCCTAAATTCTGCTTCCTTGAGGTCTGTAACTTTTTAAAAATAACTTTTATTTATGTGACTCAGATGAGCATTTTGTTCTCAAGAAAGAATTATAAAACACAAATGGTTACGCTAACAGGGCCTGCGGTTGCAAACAGCAGAGCACAGTCTCCATCCCTGTCCTGTGCTTTACAGAGTACGGTGGCTGAGAGCAGACCCAGGAGCCAGGCGGCCTGGTTCGACTGCCAGCTCTGCCGAGACTAGCTGTGTTTCCCCGGGAGAATGTCTTCGCCTCTCTGAGCCTCCTTTCCTCACTTATAAGTGGGAAGAATAATGGCACCTACCTACCAAGGCTGTCCTAGAAGTAAATGAGTTAATAATATAAAGAAATATGGTATGTAAGATCTAGTGTTAACTTCTTCTTCCCCAGAAAATTTCATCTGCAGTTTTAAAAGAAACACTGATAATGGTATAGGTATTGGTTTGCAACGTTTGTTTTCACTCCACACCCTGTTCTTTTCTTTCCAGCTGTGTACCGTTCCTCCTTATTATATTTTCCAGGCCCCCAAAGACAGGCGTTCAGGTTGTTCTCAGCTTTCTGTTGCTATAATGGAACAACTATCATCTTTTATTGTTTTTGCGAGAGAATTTTTATTGTCCTTTCATTCTAGTCAGTAACAAATGATTGCACAGGAGCTAAACGCCTCCAAGAATATCTGCACGAGGCATCTAAGCAGTCTATGGTCCTAAGACATATACAAGACACATCTAAAATACACAACTTATACATAGATCCACCTACCCAGAACCAGCAGTTCCTTTAAATATTCAACGTAGGTGGCTGGTGAATACAGTTTTCATTTTACAGAAAATTTAGAATGATGGGAATATGAAATGCATCCAAAAACTGACATTCTGATTTAGAAAGTACCAGTTAGGAAAGCTTTGAAGGAGAAAGGTGAGGCAAACGACTGCCACCCTTGATGTCACACTAGGAAGACGGGTGTCTTGGACACGCTTCCCGACCCCTGCAGCAGGCTCGCACAGTCTCTGACTCACAAGACCTTGTCAGGTACAGCGAGGGCCACACCCAGGAGGGAGGGCCTATTCTAAATGATCCCACCCTGAGTCAAGGTAACAAGGGGAAAGGACAGAAACAGACATTTGCAGCAGAAGGAAGGCAGGACTGGGGCTGGGAGAGCCAGGGAGCACGACAGGGTAAGCACAGGTGGGAAGAAGCCTGCGCCTGGAGTCTGCAGGCCTGAAGTAAAATCTCAGCTCTGTTGGGTGTGTCACAAGCCCCGAATATGTACACAGTCTTTGCCTCAACTCTTGATTCTCCAAGACTTTAAGGGCTAGAAATCACTGTGCTGTAAGCTAATGTGACCTCAATGTAGAGAAAAAGAGAAAAAAACCTCACTGCCTGTCCCTTCTGCACTAAAAAAAGAAAAAAAAAAAAGAAATCGCAGAAGAGAGGCAAAAAAGAAATCGCACAAATGCACCCCCGAAAGTGAACGGGATCCAGGCTTCGTATGAGTCAATAACACCAGAAATAACCGATGTGTCCAGAAATAGGAGATGTTCAATAGAATATGAGAATCCATGCTGTGGAATGTCATGCACCATCCAAAACCACGTTGCAGAGGAGTGACGAGTGCCACAGGCAAGTGGCCCCGGAGACCAAGTAAAAGAAAGTTCCAGACACATTCGACAGGACTCCAGTTTGGTCAGGAAACCCCAACAAAGAAGCAACTGGCCACCTGTCAAAATCTGGGTGGGGGGATTATGGGTCTTGTTTTATGTATATCCCCAATTTCCTGTAGTAAATATTCATGCCCACTGCAGTAACATGGATGGAGTGAAAGGGATTATGCTCAGTGAAATAAGCCAAAAGGAAAAAGAAAACTATCGGATGGTTTCACTTACAGGAGGAATATAGGGGCACCAAGTAAGACATCAGGGGAAAAAATAAATTAAAACCCCACAAAATTAACAGGCAATGGTAAATCAGAGACATTCTTCAGGGAAGGGGCAGGGAGAGGGATCGGAACGAGGGCGGGAAGAGCACTGAAGAATACGGTGATGGTGCCCAGGGAACTGGTGGTGGGAGTTTCACGGGGAGCGCACCTGAGAGGAGAAGTCAACACTGTACAAAAATGCACAACGATGTAAAATATACATAAGGAAACTGATTTTAAAAAAGATCTATGCATCTTTGGTGATGAGTTTTGGGATGCTGGCGGGATGCGCGTGAAGAGCTTCAGTCCGTCGGCTCCTGGGGTGGCGCTGGCGGGAGTGGCCAGGAAAGAACTAGGGGGCAGCGCTTGAGGAGTTCTGCCCCTCAGTGGGCTCTCCAGAAAGCTGTGGCCCGATCAGGATGTGGAGATGGCCCAAGTGATGGCACCTCCGCCCCAAGTGGTCTGAAGGCTCTGGGTCTCCGAGCGGGCAACAGAAGGAAGAGGGAGGCGGGTACGGAGGTGGAGTAAAGCTTGAGAACTCACACTCTGCAGTGCAAACCCTACCTGCCAGCGCTAGCTGTGTGGCCTGAGGTCAGACAGTTCTCTCTCAGATTTGGTTCTTAATCTTGAAAAGGGAGGCTAAGAAAAGCTCCCTTCAGGATGGTGGGATTCAAGGGATGGTCCCTGTCGAGGACTGAACTGGGCGTCTGCAGGCACACGGGAGACGACGAGAATCACAGAAAGGCAGTACAGACCCTGGGGTGTCGGCTGCTGGGCGCCTCAGGACACGCGCAAGGACATCATATCCCCATGGTAGAGGAGGCGCAGGAGGCTGAGTCGCTTGCTCAAGGCAGACAAGCAGCAAGCGGCAGAGCTAAGATTCGAACCCAGACAGTCTAGTTCTAGAATTTGTGCTCTCAGCCTTTGCCTACTGTGGTCTTAATACAAGCACACTCAGTTTCCTGGCTCTCTCGGAAAGGGCGGAGGGAGGGACTGCTGCACTTTTGGGGGTGATGAAACTGCAGTTCACACAGCTTCAGTGGCCTACTTGATGTCTCCGGCTACACAGCAGGAGGCCTGGCTCACGGCTCTGCTCCTAAGCACCCCTTCTCTGTGACGGCAGGGAAAACTGGGGCTCAGAGCGGCAGAGTGACTCATCTAAGGCCAAGGGGCCCCGCCGAGGCGGAGCCATCTCCCCACCCGGCGCCCCGAAGCCCAGGACCAGGGCTCCACTCACTTGGATAGGGAGACGCCGCCGGGCTTGCCGATGAGGTCCTCGTGGTGCAGGACGGCATCGCTCCAGGCGATGCCCAGGAAGTCGAGGATGAGCTTGAGGGAGCGCCTGGGGTGCAGCACCAGCTGCTCGTAGTACACCGGCAGGCACTTGTCCCTGCCCACCTCCATGCACTGCGCGTACATGACCTCGATGGCCTTGTTCCACTTGGTGAGGCAGTCGCGGTAGCTGCTGAGGTCGAAGCCGGCGATGGTGACCTTGCGAGTGATCATGGAGTGCACGGAGGCCCGGCCATCCCGCACCATCAGCAGGAACTTGGAGTTGGGGAAGAGGCGCGACAGGTAGACGGAGGACTTGAGCGTGAAGGGGTCCTTGTTGCAGAGCACGCGGGCCGGCTCGCCGTGCTTGGCGATCACCTCCAGGATGAAGGCCTGCATGGCGGCGTCCAGCACCTCGTCCGTCACGCCCGCCTCGTCCAGCCGCAGCTTCTCCCGGCCGGACTTGGACCAGGCCTGGCGCATGGCCAGCACGCGGGGGATGATGCGGGTCTCCTCGCCGCAGCGCACCTCGGGGTGGGCGTCCAGCATGGCGCGCATCAGCGTGGTGCCGCTGCGGGGCACGCCACCCACGAAGATGAGCGGCATGGCCTTGCCGTAACGGTACTCCACGTGGTCCATGCCCACCATCACCAGGTCTTCCTGCTCTGGCCGCATGACCCGCCGGGGGCCGTGGGGGCCCGCCAGCACTGCCCGGCACTCCAGCACCTGCTGGCCCAGCTGGACCACCAGCACCAGGGCCAGGGCGCAGCCAGCTGCCAGCAGCGCCCTCCGCACCGACAGGCGCATGCTGGGCCTGGGGTGGGGGGCCTGCTTCAGCGACACGTCACAGGGCTCACATCTGGGGAGAGAGACACAGAGATCGGGGGGCTTTATCATACAAGATGACAACACACACATGCTGCTTCACCAGCACCTGCTGTGCCTGGCTGGTGCTGGGAACCCCAAACGCCTTTCGCTCATGAGACCCTCCCGTCACTGCAGGGGTAGTGCTATTACTTCCTGTGGGTGCTGGAAGCCACTGGTTCAAATCCCTTATTACCACTTCCTAGCTGTGGGCACTTGCCAGTCCCTTCAGCACTCTATGCCTCCGTTTCCTCAGGTGGTGAACACAGCAATAATTCCTCTAAAAATTACTACCTAACTGTAGAGAGTAGTCAGGTTTCAGGATTGGACAAGGACAGGTGTTTGCCTGTTTTGTTCGTGGCTGTCATCACAGCATCTAGCACGGCGCCTGGCACAGGGCAGCTGCTCACTATGAACACGCCGTGGTTGAATGAGTGGGACCTGGCACAGAGTACGTGCTAAGAGGTTATCACTGCAGAGGGGAGGAAACTGAGGCATGGCAAGGCTGCACAGGCCACCAGCTGGAAGAAGCCCAGCTGAGCCCACGCCTGGGCCCTGGGACAGCCAGCTCCAGCATCTGCTCTGCATGACCATAGTCTGCCTCAGCAGATGCTTTTCAGGGACTGCACAGAATGCGCTGGTCTGGGTTCCTCCCCGCATCCCAGTCCACTCATTCAGCCTTCATTCAGTAAGTACTCAATACATACTCAAAGGTGCCAGCATTATGCCCAGTGCAGGAAAGAGGACGTAAATGAGACAAGCAGGCCCCTGGACCCAAGGAGCTTATGTCCTGGCAGGGAAAGGATAGCACACAAAGTCCTGCAGAGAACGCACCGCCACCATGCGGGATCAAATAGGGAAGGATGAGGAGGTCAGGGAGGGCTTCTGGGAGGAGGTGCCATCCAAGCAGGGACCGTGGAGAATGTGCTGGCAGTGTGAACATGTGTGGGAAGGGTGCGCTAGGCAGAGGGAGCACAGAGTGGGAGGACTCCTAGATGGGTAAGGGATCTTCAAGAATTAGTGGGGGGCTCCGGAGTCAGCAGTGAGGGAGGACAAAGGGAGTGAAGGGGGAGACCTGTGTGTGGATGAAGGGGGCAGTTGTCAGGCAGGACGAAAAGCAGGACCCGCCTAGCTTAGCCAGTTCCTGCCCAAGTCACCTCAAGAGAGTTATCTACCCCCTCCCAGCTGACCCTCAAGGCCCCCGACGCTGCCCTGAGGACAACACAGAAGGCACCTCAGTCACTCAACGGACACGGCTGCTCTTCCTCACCCCTGCTGTTTGCAAGTCCTTTCCTCAGCCAGGAGAAGGAGGACTTGGGCCTCACTGGGCAGTCAAGGAGTCAGGCGGACCTGGGTTCGAGCCCAACTCTGCACTCCCCTCGCGGCTGGGAAGCCTGGGCAGTCCTTTCACTTCTCTGAGCCTCCCCTAGAATATGGGTCTAAACTCAAGGGGTATCATGCATGCGCATGTAACCCCCCTGAAGGACTTGGGATTATGCCCTACATAGAGAGAACATTCAAAAGCAGGGGCCTCCCTGGGGGTGCACGGGTTGGAGTCTCAGTACTATCAAGCTGGCCACATCCACTGTGGCCTGAGTTCCATCCTGGGCCAGGGAGCTGACCCATATATAGTACAGCAGACCCCTCCTGTCTCACCCGCTGCTTCCCTAGCAGTGTGTCAGTAGATCTACCTGTTCTGCTCCCCACTCTGTCTCTGGGGAATTCTCTCACCCCTTGTACCTCTAACCTAGACCCTAGTTTTGTATGCATAAATAAATAAATAAAAGAACATTAGCAGTTTCTACCACATTCACTGTTCAATTATTCTGACATTTAATGAGTGTCCGCTGTGTGCTCAGAGTCAGGTTACGGAGCTCAGAGACTGCGTCAGTCCCCGCTACGCCTGGAAGGGGGTGAGGGGCCCTGACTAACGAGGTGAGGGCAGGCTTCCTGCAGGAGGCCATCCTCAAGATGAGTTCTGAACACGGTGTTGTTTACAGCCAGGTGGAGAAGCAACAGGAAGGGTTCCAGACAGAGGAGCAGCAGGCAAGGGCTCAGCAGGAAAGAAGCGAGTGTGACCTTGACATGACCATGACCAGGAGCTGCTGTGGCTTAGCAAGTGGTGAAGGGTCTCAGAAGGATGGAGAGGTGGCATTCCACGCTGGCCCAAGAGGAAATATCAAGTGATCCTGGTTTGCAGCCAGACAAACCCACCTGCAAGGGCCTTGGCTGCCTGAGGTCCCTTAGGTCGTGGCAAAGGAAAAATAAACATCCAAGCCAAGGGCACACACAGGCTTGGGCCTGGGTCAAGCTGCTGCGAGGCCCTGGCACTTCCTGGCTGTATGGCTTTAGGAATCACTCCTCACATCTGTGCCACAGCTTCTTCCGCTGCAGAAGGGAAGGTCCCTGGACCTCAAAGGCTGCAGTGAAGGTTGTAGAAGCAGCAAACAGAGCAAAGGAGAGACATCCGGTAGTCCTGCAGCGCATGGAGCGTGCTGGAACCCTTGTCCCATCAAATGCTGCTGACAGCGCTGGCATTTCATTGGTGCTGAACTTGGGGTCTGGGATGGGAGAATCAAATTTCTGGGCTACTTATGGAGGGAGGCAGGCTAGACAGGCACTCAGAATCCCTCCAAGGGCCCATCTGCTTCTTCAAGTGCTCACTGAAATTCTCCCTTTAGACCCAAGACTAGAATTCTGCCAATTATGGTTATTTCATGGCAATGCCCTGGGGGAGTTGGCGGAGGTTTGTCAATCACACTTTAGCTTGAATTAGCTGTTATTACCCTTTCTTACAATACTTTTAGTGGGGAGTGAGAGAACAGAGCTTCTGGGGAACAGATGGTGATGGGAGTTACATAGAAAGGGAGAAAAGGAGCTAATCTTCAAAAGTGGTTTCTAGAAAGGATACATATAGTGTGCTTACCACTGTGTGTGCAAGGTGCATGTGTGTGTGCGTGCGTGTGTGTGTGTGTGCGTGCACACAAGCTTGTGTTTGGGGTTGAAATCATTTGAATACTAAATACCAGGAAGAAAGAACTGAAAGGAGAGATATACAGATAAGGAAAATGTTACCAACTTGCCAGTTTTGCTCAATACTGATCACTCACGAGGCTACAGCACAAAACTACACACCTGCATTTTGTGTTTTCACATTTATGGGCACTTGCTCTCATCAAGTTTTCCCCAGGCATCATCTAACATCATCCTCTTTCCCACCTCTGGGCTAGGTGCTCGCACCAGGAGTTCAGAGAGAAGCAGCAATTTGCCCAAGGTCACACAGAGTGGCAGGCCTGGGCTAGGCCTGCCTGAGACCAAGCTGTTGACGGTCATCAGACAGGACCCAGTCAGTGGCCCATCCTGCCAGAGCAAACAGGTCAGAGAAGGCAGGTGTGAGGGGAACAAAAGGGAGCAAAGACCTGGAGAGTGGCCTGAGAAAAGAAAGAAAGTGAGAGGACCTGGCAAAGAGACAGCAGAGAAGGCCCAGCCCAGCCAGGGATCGCTCTGCAGAGGGGTGAGAGGTCCCAGTCAGAGGTCCCAGCACCCTGGCACAGATGATGATAGGTAAGAGCCTCACACCTGGAGTCCTACAGCCCTAGTTTCAACCCCCGCTACCACCTGATAGTTACTGTCCTTGAGAAGGGACTTTACCTCTCTGAGCAGTTTTCTCCTCAAAAAAAAGTAATAATAACCTTCTCTCAGTGAGCCAGTATGAGACCCAGAACTTTTGTGTGAAGTACTGAGAAGTGCTGAAAACGGGAGCTGGGATTTGGATTTGGCTGTGACTGCCCTACGATGCTGGGCAGGACACTGCCTGCTCTGGGACTCAGCCGCCATGCTGCTGTCACCGGGAGCATCCGCTTCACGAGGGTGAAGGCCAAATGCCTTTCCATGCTGCTGGGAACCAGGTCTGTCTTTTTCTGAATTTCTAACAGAGAAGAAAGAGGGGGCTTGGGGGGAGACACGGTGGAGTCTGGGGGCATCCACTGTTCGACAGTGGAGGTTGTGTGTTAAAGTGGAGGTGGCTGTGCCTGGGGCAGTCTCCAGAGAAGTTGGGGCTCTGAGGGGCATTCTGCATGCACTTACCTCTCCTGGGCACTCTCATCCCTGGGTTTCAGCCCGCGTGGCCACTTGCCAAGGCTGTCCACCAGCTGACCCCTGCAGAGGAGACGCCGCATTAGGGTTGAGTGCCATGGAGAGGGGTAGTGGGGGTGCTGGGCTCCCCTGTGATTCTGCAAGGAATGCACCTGGGGGTGTGAGCTGCAGGCATGGGGGGACACTCAGGCCAGATGCTGCTGCTGGGGCCTGACCTGGCCTGTCCCTCCAAGGATCCTACTGGCTCATGTCTCAGACAGAGAGGTGTGAGCAGAGAACCTGGGACAAGACACTGCCTTATGGTCCCCCCTGGTCTCTGCCAACTAGACGTCTCCCTCCTTTCCTCCTGGCACAGACCATGAACTCCAGGAAAAAGTAAACACAACAATAAGCAACCACCACCAGCTGTATCCCTCGTGACCACTGGGACTTCTGGGTACAGCTGCATAGGCTCTGTGTCTCCAACTCCATAGGCCACCACATAGCTGGCCTACGACACATGGGGTGCCCCTGGAGCTGGACAGCACCCTGCCACCCGACCCCTACCCAAATACCTATTGTGCGGGTGCCCGTGTCATTTCATCCCCTTATGAGGGCAGAATGAGATCCCAATTTTACCAATGAGAAAACGGCACCAACAGGAAGAACAACTGACCCAGACAGTCACCTGGTACCCAACTCTTTGCCACGGTGTTGAGGAGACTGAACACAGAGTCGCAAACTGGCCACCACGCAACCATGGGAGCCTGGTGCACACCCAAATGCCATGCCCCTACCCCTCCGGCATTTAAATTCAAACTAAGTTCCGTGCGGAGGATTTATGGTCCAGCTCTTCCCTCCCCCCACTTTACAGAGCGGGCAACTGAGTCTGAAGCCGACTTCCCACCTTCCATTCCCATTCCAGAGGTGGGGCTGGCTAAGAACACAGCTCTGGAGCTGGATAGCTCCTTGACTGCACAGACTGTCACTGCTCTGAACCTGTTTTTCCATTCTGTAAAACGGGCTGCTGGGAGGTTTCAACAAGAACAAGCACTCAGACTCTCAGCTACTACCTGATTTGTGCCAAGATGGAAATCAAGAGCGCAGGCTGCTGTGTGTAGCCCCGACCTCTTCCCCTTTCCATCTGCTCGCTTCTCACCCCTCTGTACAGTTTTTTCTATCCACCCTGATAGTACCGATCAGTTTCCTGGTGCAACCACAGCAGCCATCCTGTGCCCATTCCCAAGTGACAGATGCACGGCCTGACACCCCTAGGCCCGGGGGGGTCAGTGGTGGGAGGCCTGCCTCTTGGAACACAGAAAAACAATTAAGGGGCCCAGCACTTGAAGCTCTTCCAGAGCTAAAATGGCTACAGCCCAGCTGCCCCCAGGTGGTCCTTAAAATCCCAGAGAGCCCAAGAGGCCTGCCAGCTCCCACGCAGAGGGCCCTTTCAGGGTGGCGGGACAGGCTGTCAGCCGCCTAGAGCTGCTGGTCCCCCAAGGGCACTGCTGAGGATGCATTTAAATTCAGAATAAGTAAAATACAAGGAAATGTGAAGTTCTGGAGTTCAGCAACTCGTTTGTACTGGTCACATTTCGAGTGCCCTGGAGCCACCTGGTAGCAGTGGACACCTGCCAGATAGGGCAGGTCTAAGATGGGGTCAGCGATTTGCAGCATCCTAGCCCTTGGGCTAAGGTTGGCTTTTACACTTTTTAAGGGAAAGAGGAGGAAGGAGGGAGTATGAGAGCAGCAGCGGGAACAGCCACAAAACCTGAAATATTTACTACTGGCACAGTCAGAAAGCCCCATTAGATAGGTAAATACAGCTTGTGGGTTCTAAAACATTCCATCATTTGCAGAAAGTTCCACTAGACAGCACAGACTTAAAAATGAGGGGGGTTGGGAGGAGGTCATTGAGCCCCTTCTCTTGGAGGAAGAACATCAGCATTTTTAAAAATACATTTATGTTGTGGTCCAATATAGCCACTCCACTCCAACTTCCACTGTTTGCCTTCATTTTGCTTTTCAAAGTCCATGAATTTTATTTTTATTTTGTTTTGTCCAATTATCCACTTATGTTTCCTTGTATTACAGATACAAGTAAGAGCGTCCACTCTCCATCTTCTGTCTTTCCAACTCATTTTGCCTAACACATTCCCCTTGAGTTCTTCCATTTTGCTACAAATGGCCTGATTTCATCTCTCCTTCTAGGTGAAGAGTGCACATACACCACATCTTTACACCTAGTCATCTCTCTGTGGGCACTGGGGGAGTTCCTCATTTAAGCTGTCACGAAGAGTGCTGCAGTAAACGTTGTGGTAACATCTACGCACAAATATCTGTGATGTACGGAACTGCTACTTAAATTCTTCAGATAGATTCCCAGAAGTGAGGATGCTGAATCATAGGGTAGTTCTGGTTTTAGTTTAATGAAGAAAGCTCAAAATCATATGGTTTTTATCCTTCCTTTTGCTGATGTAGAACACCAGCATTTACTAAGCATGACTACGTTTTGTTTTGTTTTTTTTAAGATTTATTTATTTGTGCATACAGAACTGGGGTACAGACCAGAAGCTCAGGGGTGGCAAGAGGCTTCACCAGAGACAGAGTGGGGAGCAGAATAGGCAGATCGACGAAGTACACTGCTGAGGGGAGCAGCGGGCGGGTCAGGAGAGGTCTGCAGCGCCATGTGGTCACCTCCAGGGCAGGCGGGGATCGAACTCATGCAGAAGTGGCTTTAGCTCCTTAGTGCTGTGCTTTAACTCGCTGCGCCACCAGGGAGGGCCATGACTACGTATTTAATAACAGATTTTTAATTTCTAAAAGGATTGCACCTCTAGCATTCCCACCAACCGCATGATTGCCAACACCTGGGGTTAGCAGTCTTTACTATAAGCCACTCATGAGATGATGTCTCATGGTTCTGATGTGCAGTAGGAGTAGTGAAGAACATTTTTCCTGTTTGTTGGACAGCTGCATCTCCCGTGGAAAAGCTTCTATTCATATTTCTGCTCATTTTTTTCATTGGCTTGTTTTCTGAATGAGCTCTTCATCTATTTTGGCTATTAACACCTAGTTGGATGTGGGATATGCAAATATCTTCTCCCATTCAGTAGGCTGTCCTTTTTAGGCTGCTACTTTCTTTTACCATGTAAAAGCTTTTTCACTTGACGTAGCCACAATTGTTTATTTTTGCTTTCATATCCTTTGCCTTGGAGTTGAGACATCAAAGACTTCAATTATGTCATGTGATTTGTCACTAACATTTTCTTCTACGTCTCTTATGATTTCAGGTTTTCCATCTAGGTCCTTAATCCATTTTGATTTTATTTTTGTTTATGGAGTTATGGAGTGAACCAATTTCCTTCATTTGCAAGAGGCTGTTACATTTTCTTAGGACCATTTATTGAAGAGATATTCCTTTCTCCATGTTATGGTTATAACTCCTTTGTCATGAATTAAGTGTTGAAATATATGTGGATTTATTTCTGGGCCCAACTTCTGTTCTATTGATCCATGTGTATGTTTTTATTATAATACCACACTGTTTTAACTACTGTTGCTTTATAATAAAGTTTATTCTATTTTTCTTATTCCCCTCAAGATTGCTTGAGCTTTTGGGGTTTGTGTGTATGGTGTAATATTTTTGTTCTGCTTCCTTAAAACATATCATTTGAATTTTGATAGAAAGTGCATTGACAGAAGAGCTAAAAAGACACTTCTCCAAAGAGGAAATGCAGATGGCCAACAAGCATACGAAAAAATGTTCAACATCACTCATAATAAGGGAGATGCAAATTAAAACCACAATGAGATACCACCTCACCCCAGTGAGAATGGCACATCTTCAAACAACTA